TTTGATTTGATTTTGATTTTATTTATTTAGCTAACCTAGATTTCCCCAGGTGGACAGTAACACATACAACCCCAATTTCAGAAAAGTTGGGACATTTCGTAAAAGACAATAAAATTAAGAATCTGTTATTTGTTACGTCTCTTACATTTACATTTACATTTAGTCATTTAGCAGACGCTTTTATCCAAAGCGACTTACAACTGAGGACTAAACCAAGCGAGTCATCGTGAAGAGGCAAAAGCAACGCAAGAAGTGCTCAAAATACAAAGTTCAGACATAGCTCGGAGTAGCATAAGCCAGGCAAGCGAGGATTTAGAGGAAATTTAGAGGATTGTATTTATTTTTTTTATTTTTTTTATGTTAAGTGCTCCCGGAAGAGATGAGTTTTCAGTTGTCTTTTGAATGTTGTCAGGGATTCTGCATTCCGGATGAGGGTGGGGAGATCATTCCACCAGCATGGAACCGTGAATGAGAATGTTCTGGAGAGTGATTTTGTGCCTCGCTGTGATGGTACCAGGAGCCGTCGCTCATTGACCAATCGTAGGCTTCTGGTAGGGGTGTAGACTTGTAGTAGTGAGTGGAAGTAGGAGGGAGCTGAACCTGTGGTCAATCTGTAAGCAAGCGTCAAAGCCTTGAACTTGATGCGAGCAGCGAGTGGTAGCCAGTGCAGAGAGATGAGCAGAGGAGTGACGTGGGCCCTTTTGGGCTCGTTGAAGACAAGACGAGCTGCAGCATTCTGGATCATTTGTAGAGGTTTAGTTGCACATGATGGAAGTCCAGCCAGAAGAGCATTGCAGTAATCAAGCCTAGAAATGACCAGGGCCTGGACGAGAAGCTGTGTTGCATGCTCAGTTAGGAAAGGCCTGATCTTCCTGATGTTGTGCATAGCAAACCTGCATGATCGAGCTGTCTTTGTAATGTGGTCTGTGAAGGTCAGCTGATCATCAAAGATTACTCCAAGATTTCTGACCGACCTTGATGGGGTGATTGAGGAAGAATCTAGCTGGATAGTGAGGTCGTGCTGTAGAGACGGATTGGCAGAGAGGACGAGAAGCTCAGTCTTTGCCAGGTTGAGCTGCAGGTGATGTTCCTTCATCCATGCCGAGATGTCCGCCAGACAGCTTGAGATCCGTACAGCTACTGTGGGATCATCTGGTTGAAATGAGAGGTAGAGCTGGGTGTCATCAGCATAGCAATGGTAAGAGAAACCATGTGCCTGTATGATAGGTCCCAGTGATGTGGTGTAAATGGAGAAGAGGAGCGGTCCGAGAACTGAACCCTGAGGAACGCCTGTGGTCAGTTGACGTGCTTTGGATACCTCACCTCTCCTCTCTTGAACCTTTATTTAATTGACAAAAGTACAAAGAAAAAAATGTCAATGGTTTCACTGGCCAAATTAATTGTATATTGTAAATATGAAAATAAAATTGCTGCAACACACTTGCTGGGACAGAGGCAAAATAAAAGTGAAAAAGTGATTAAGGATAAAATGAACATCCACCAAAGGCTCAGCCTTTGCAATCAAAGATGGGTAACGGCTCACCACTTTGTGCCAAATTTCATGAGAGAATTATCAAACAATTCAAAAATCACATTTCTCAATGCAAGATTGCAAAGTATTTAGGTCTTTCACCATTTACCATATAACATAGTAAAAAGATTAAGGGAATCCAGAAATCTCAGTCTGTGTAGGGCAAGGAAACCTCTGTTGAATGTGTGTGATCTTCGAACCCTCAGATGGCATTGCATGAGAATCTATACTGTGTTAAATATACACTCTTAAGAAAAAGGCTCCTAAACAGTACCAAATTAGGGTTCTTCGGCTTGTAACAATAGCAGAACCCTTTTTGGTGCTAAATAGAACCCATAAGGTTCCATAAAGAACCATGCTTTAAACAAATGCTAGGACCTTAATGGTGTTATAAATAACCTTTTCACCAATATTTATTTTCATTAATATTAGTTTATTTGTACTAATATTTATATTATTAATATTACTATTATTACTATTATTTTTATATATTATTAATTAATATTGTTTTTAGCCATCTAGTCTAAAAGCTATAAAAAGAAGGTTATTTAAAGGTTCTTTACACGAAGAACCCTTTATATGTGTCACAGTCTTCGTCTGCACCTGTCTGTCTTAGTCATCTTCACTACACTTCCCAGAATCCTTCTTGTCTCCACACCTGAACTCACTCCCTCACTTACCAGCCTGTCCCTTGTTATCATCATCAGTGTCACCTGTTTTCACCTTGTTATGTTTGATTCATGCTTGTATTTAGTTTGCTTCTGTTCAGTCTGTCCTGGTCGGTTGTTAAAGTTATATGGTTGTGTTTAGTGTGTGTTTCTGCCCGTCATTCTGCCTGCCTGCCTGTCTGTACCTGTGAGTTTGATCAGTAAAACTGTTTGATTTGGAGCTTTTGACTCAGCCATCTTCTTCTACCCGCACAACACCGTGACAGAACAACCGACCCAAAACAAGAGTCAGCATGGGAATTCTTCTCACCCCGGTAAACCCAGCTCACTCTCCATTCACCCCAGTCGATCGTCTAATCCATTGCTTTCAAGACGGCTGCTCCATAGAAGAATATGTCACCGGCTTCCTGGAGCTTTCTGTGGGGGTAAGCTGGACAGACGACGTCCTGAAGTCGGTGTTTTGGGGCGGTCTAGACGAGAGCCTATACCAGCTAGCCCCAGCAGCAGCTTTTTCAGGTACCTTCGCCAGTTACCTTGATCATGTGTTGTGGTTGAGTGGATCGGCCTTCACCGTTGGTGAGGTTGTGGATGACATCACCACTCAATCACACACACCAGCCATCTTAACCACGCCACCCATCATCCGGAAAGCAGAGACCGTCCAGCCAGAGACCGTCCAGCCAGAGACCGTCCAGCCAGAGACCGTCCAGCCAGAGACCGTCCAGCCAGAGACCGTCCAGCCAGAGACCGTCCAGCCAGAGACCGTCCAGCCAGAGACCGTCCAGCCAGAGACCGTCCAGCCAGAGACCGTCCAGCCAGAGACCGTCCAGCCAGAGACCGTCCAGCCAGAGACCGTCCAGCCAGAGACCGTCCAGCCAGAGACCGTCCAGCCAGAGACCGTCCAGCCAGAGACCGTCCAGCCAGAGACCGTCCAGCCAGAGACCGTCCAGCCAGAGACCGTCCAGCCAGAGACCGTCCAGCCAGAGACCGTCCAGCCAGAGACCGTCCAGCCAGAGACCGTCCAGCCAGAGACCGTCCAGCCAGAGACCGTCCAGCCAGAGACCGTCCAGCCAGAGACCGTCCAGCCAGAGACCGTCCAGCCAGAGACCGTCCAGCCAGAGACCGTCCAGCCAGAGACCGTCCAGCCAGAGACCGTCCAGCCAGAGACCGTCCAGCCAGAGACCGTCCAGCCAGAGACCGTCCAGCCAGAGACCGTCCAGCCAGAGACCGTCCAGCCAGAGACCGTCCAGCCAGAGACCGTCCAGCCAGAGACCGTCCAGCCAGAGACCGTCCAGCCAGAGACCGTCCAGCCAGAGACCGTCCAGCCAGAGACCGTCCAGCCAGAGACCGTCCAGCCAGAGACCGTCCAGCCAGAGACCGTCCAGCCAGAGACCGTCCAGCCAGAGACCGTCCAGCCAGAGACCGTCCAGCCAGAGACCGTCCAGCCAGAGACCGTCCAGCCAGAGACCGTCCAGCCAGAGACCGTCCAGCCAGAGACCGTCCAGCCAGAGACCGTCCAGCCAGAGACCGTCCAGCCAGAGACCGTCCAGCCAGAGACCGTCCAGCCAGAGACCGTCCAGCCAGAGACCGTCCAGCCAGAGACCGTCCAGCCAGAGACCGTCCAGCCGATGCATTTATTTACGTGTTAAACAGGCTGCAGAATTTGTACCCAGCACTTTTGAAAATGCACTTCCGAATGCGTCTCTGTCCCCACCACATTTCAAACCAAACTGACGCCCGTGCCTAAAACGTCGGATGTTGACGTATGGTCAAAAGCGTCAGACGTATGACGTCTTGGGTGAAATGGCTCAGCTATATTTAAAACATGAAAATTAAAATGACGGGATAGATTATAAGGATTTTTTTACAACCCTTCAAAGTAACAGACAATTTAGGTATCTGAAATTATCCATGCAGCCTGATCTTATACGTCTCATTTATCGTGTAAAATTGCACGATAAATACAACGAGTGCTAGAGACGCATTTCATGAGATCGGGTTGATGTAGCTCCGTCAACTGTCCCGAGCATCTTTCACCCTATCCCTGCATTAGAGTTTATTGTTTGCACTTAATTCTGTTTAATTAAGCTGTTTGTGCCATATCATAAATGTTGCTTTACTTGATACTGAAGAAAATAATGTTTGGAGGAAACATTTGAGTCACCCCTGTGTATCTCGTCATAACAGATGCTAAATCGACGATTGTTTTACCCATCAGTGCGTATATGTGTGCCTATATATAATAACGAAAGTTTTGCTATTCATGTGTTCGACATTTTTGTCATTTAACATATTTCTTTATTTCGTCTACAACGTCCAGTTGCTTTATTCCCCCAGTAAGACATTTTGAAGAAAAAAAAAAACAAGATTTCAAGATTTTCAAAGCAAAATGATTTTATTCTTCTTTTGCTTCACAATGTTTAACATTTTTGTGATTATGTTTCCTTCAGCGACATTCATTTTGCCAATAGTAATTAACACACAGTGTTTACAACTTCTTTGCACAGAAATGAAATAAAGTCAATTGTGCAAACCTCATAAATACATTTTAACCCTTGGGGTTTACAATTTTGTTGTTTACAACGCATAATATTTAAACCCCAACGAGGATTGCATAACGTTATGCTCATAGAATATGATCTGTGCTCGCTGGCTCTCTTTCGTTTACAAAGTAGCCATATTTTAGGTAATAAATACTTAAAATCCTTACATGTAATCTCAATAACAGGCTTTACATTTCTCAAGCTTATTACGACAAATAAATAATATACAAAGTTAATAATAAACAATTTCCCTGAAGCCTCCTGTTGCGTGTTTGGTCACCACGGTCTCCACATGTCCACAGCTGCCTGTGGCGCAGGCTGAGCTTGGCTGGGTGCTGACGCGTTACCGGTGGAGTGGTTCTCCATCGTAGAGTTGTTGTTCCTCAAGCTCACAAGTCTCTGGTGCATTTGTGAAATCATTCTGGAGTTCTGACCACAGCAGTTCTCGCAGGACGATGCCGCAGACACCATCGAGTGCTGAATGAACTCGTTGACGCGCTGAGAGGTTTCTGTTCCTAGGTTAGACTGAGGCAGCATCACAGAGATGCGCTGCAAACAGGCTTTATAACCCTCTTTATAGCTGTCTGTTTGACCTTTGGGGGGAAAAAATAAAATCATTAAATATACTTGGCCCATTTGAAATAACGCAGATTCCAATTAAATGCTGAGAATGGTGTAAACAAAAGTAAATCACTATAGATCACTCACCTTTAGCCGATGAGGAAGGCAGATCTTTGAGGAACCGGACAGTCATTTCGAGAATGTCAGCTTTCTCGAGCTTTGAGTAACGTGAAGCCTACAAATTGAAAATGATTTGACACATTAGGATATTGTTCAGACACTGACGCACACTTGGATGTATGGCAAGTATAATAATACCATGCAAGCTCCAAAGTTAAGATACTTACGTCTTTGCCGACCAGAGGGAGTATTAGTGTTTTTAAGTGATTGAGGCTCTCGTTAATGCGAGCCCGCCTTCTCTTTTCCATCAATGGCTTGAGAGTCTGGAAAAAAAAGAAAGAAATCGGTTAATGTAAGTGTGAGTTTTTAGTGACTACAAGGTCTATTAAAATGGTTCAGGGGTGTTCATTAAAAGGAACTCAAAATCGTCCTCACCTTTCTCAATTCATGTGCCTCTTTTCTCTGAGCTACAGTCATTCGAGTACCGATTGAGTGGGAATGAGCTTCGGTAATAATGTTTGGAGTCATGATTTGATCTGTTGGTGTCTCTAAGAGAGAGGAGTAGAGTTTTGTGCTCAGGCTGGGCGAGAGGGGTCTTTTATAGGGCTCTTTGGCGTGGAGGGAGGGCTTCTGTTCCATTGTGCCTTCGGTTTGACGCAGAGGGGGATGCTGGATGCCATAGGGAGATCTGATCTGACTGTCCCGAAAGTTACCATCTGTTGATTGATGTTAGCTTCATCTAAACCACTGGTATTCGCATGTCATTGATAACAATTTTCCTTGTTTCATAGATCTCCGCATGTGTTTGCATGTGCTTATAAACTATACAAGCCAAATTCGTATGTAATTCACAATAAACCGTGGAGATTAAAACAATTTACAAAATACAAGTTCGTTTTCTATATCGCATTCTGGTTTAATGTTTACTGCAAAACAAACTACAATAGCCTACAATATACATTTAAAGTTTATTTGTTTACTCTCATTTTGACTTGGCATTGGTCTATAAAAAATTGTGCTGTAAGATATTTGTTTCACAAAGAAATCCGCCATATTGGCCGATACTGATAAATAATACAGCATGATGCACGCAATAATTAACCAAGCCACGCTATAGTTAACATCTGCTTACGTTCGGACCATGTTGGAAAGCCTATAAGTTATATTACTCTAATGTCATAAAGCAATACGTTGGCAAGTAGTAGTCTACATTTAAGTCAATATTGGGGTATAATTCAAGAGTAGGGTGGTTTGCAATACAACATAGTTTAAATCACCAATAGCCTACATAAAAAGGAAAATTATATTTATATATAAAAAATTATAGGCCTATGGGTTTAAAAATAAGGTTTTATTAATGTTATAGAACAGCTTTTGCATGTTTCCCCCCTAAACATTTATTTCTGGTTTATTTTCCAGTGGCCACACATTTTAGCTGTTCAGTGGTTTATTTTAAAGGCATAACTTCATATTTCAAATCAGTGGTGATCTCACGCGCCTGACACGCGCCGTTACTATGTAACAGATGGATGTCTGTTCCTCCAATCCCAACAAAGCGCGCCACTAGTTTGAATCCCAACTCCCTTGAGTAAAGACTGCCTAACTCTTTAGTCACCTGTTTGCTATATTACTACCCTATCACGTTGCTGCATTTATGGCGTGTCTTTTCAATCTATTGGCGTCTGTGTCTGAGCCATATGACCGAATATGATAATAAAGCTTCACGGGGTGACACGAAGAGAAGGGTTTTCCCCCCTTCTTCTTCTTCTTTTTTCTTTGTTGGGGGCTGAGGGAAGTATGGAATAGGGTGACACGCATACAAAATTATAATTATATAGGCCTACCACCATCAAAAATGTATCTCGACAGCTTTTGCCTTTTTTGGTGTGTTGTCTGCGGTACTAGCTATAACAGTCAAACTGATTGGTGAAACTGAAAGTCTAGAACAATCTCGTACATGTCTTTATTTTTATTGCTTTTATTTATTTATTTATTGGCTACACATTATGAAAGTGATAAGAGCAAAAGCTGTTATTTGTGCGTTGAAGACCTTTTGAATGTTCCATCAGAGGCAGGCACGCGTCACTGTCTCCAAGAGCGCATCAATTAACCTTCATGTTGTTGGCTTGTAGCTACTGGTCTTGTCCGTTTGAGTCGTCTTTAAAGCTGAATAAATTGAATAAACAGACCATATATATATTCCAAAGGGTAAACACTGAACTCATACAGCAGCAGATCGAGTATTTTTTTAATGCGGGGTAGTCGAGCAGAATTTTCAAATATTATACTAAAATCACTGGTGAGTCAAATGGCCATTTTACATTTAGGCTGTTTGAATGCATCAAGAGCCATCGAGATGGTCACACTTTTTTTGATGTTTTTTTTTAGACGAATTTTAGTGCTTATATAAGCGTTATTTATATGTTTTGCGCAATCTCTTAAATCTTAATTTACACCAATTCAAATATGTCGTGGTTAACGACCTACCTTGGGGAAAAAAAAAATATATTTTGCTCTATTGCTTAAAACGAATCAACAGTCTACTATAGCTTGCTTTGGAAAGCTGATTGGAAAATGAGTTTTATGCGTATAAAAAGTAACATATTTAGAAATATTCATAAGGAAGATTTAAACAATTTTATGATGAATAGCTGAAAAAAAATATGATGGTGATTTGAAATCATCTTATAGCTCAGATGATTGCGGTCTCATTTATATACAATCTTAAATCTATAAAATATGAATATGAAAACACCCTGAGCAGTAAAATGCTAAATGCCTCCCGAACTTTGTTAATAAAATATCATTTAGAAATGTACTTTGTTAATAAAATATCATTTAGAAATGTACTTTTTAAAGTGTATTGCATCATGTTAAAATGACCACAAAGCTTCATGGTTTAAAGCATGTCCTATACATTTTTGACCAGTCATCAGTAAAGGTCATTTAGATAAAACAGTTATATTAAGATATATTTCAAATGCTACAAAATAGTATCAGCTGACCCTAGGGTATTTTTCTTTCCATTTGTGATGTATGCTGTCCTACTAATACGCTTATCTACATAGGCTACATTACATTTATGGTGACTTTCCTTCTTTTGTGTGTCCTGCTTTTCTTCATTCATTTAAGGAACTGCTTATAATCATACATAAGTTTGTAATATATAAGTTCATAAACAGGTGAAGATAGATATTTCATCAAAAAGCATGACATCAAGTAATAATAAATAATGTTTGATAATAAAATTCATCCTCCAAATAATCACTTCTAAATGATCCGTAGATAAACATGTTGAAGCTACAAAACATTACAAAATCAACTTAATAAAGCTTTATGTTCGGGAACATGTGGATTAAATCATACACATATATTATTTATTTCACTTGAAAAACAAGCAAACGCTGCAGAGCGACATGAAACAAAGCCCAAATAAAGTATGCTTCCCAAGCCAAAACCAACGCTGGCTGCAAACAGCTGTTGACACGCAATATTGCATAGACTTACTAGCAATCACTACATAATTTGTGTTGTTTGGAACCTAAAACCAAATAAGTTCGTGTGGATCGGATGAGCAGACATGTGGTGTTTCGCAAAGCTGCGCGTCTCTCTCAGCATCACGCTGAGAATCCAGACCAAGTATTTGTTTGTCTGTGCGTGCGTAGGTAGTCGTTTTGATCGCATATTGCATAAAACAAAAAAAAAAAACTAAATAGGCTATTAGTAAAATTGTTAAAATCACGGGTGAGTCATTTTATATGTAATGGAGCAATTGAGCAAGAGTCATTGAGATTGCACAGGTTTATTTCCTCTTAAATCATGGACAAATCTTGCTCAACGTTATGTTTCTGAGTATATTGAATACAATCTTAATGCACTCTGGTTCAAATAGCCTTCTTCGTGCTTTTTACGACTTAACTTGTAACAAGTAGAATGTGCCACATTGACAACCCAAACAATTTACCAAAACTAATAAACAGTCTAAAGTGTTTGCGATCACCAGAACCCAGACAAAAGCTGAAAGATGAACATGCGCGTCCATCAGCAAAACAATTAGGCTATTCGTAGGTGAATATCAACCCAAATATCGAAACCCCATCAATAACATATCTAGCAAACAACATCAAGTCTTAATTCAAATACCCAAGCCAAAAGCCAAGCCAAATGAATGCACATCTGGTGATGTAACTTTTCACACAAAGACTTGTTTTCCCCATAACGATTCGCCCATAGTGCATGATTTTGTGACGTAGCAGTAGACTATGTAAAAAAGCTTCCCCATTGTAATACTTTGAGTGAGAACTGCATCAGCACATAGCCTACAGCACGGTAGATGTGAGAAGCGTGTTTTTTTAGCAACTTCCTCGGCCCCTAAAGAAAAAGACCAGGGAAAAACAACGAAAAGGCGCGTTTTCCTTGTAAATGTGCGCATGGGGCTCTTGGGTCCCCGCTCGCGCTAGGCACGAGAATGGCACGAGCCATGGGGACAAAAGGCCAGATGGCTGTGCGATTATAATGAATTATAGATAGGCTACGAAAGAGCTGGTTTGTTATCTAATTTACATTATGGATCATATGTACAATTTTATTATTTCATTTTTGATAGCAGTGGCATATCACCTATATGTAAGCTAGCTATCTACAGTAGTGCAATTATTCGAATAGCTGCTAAAATTGTACATAGTGTTTGCGTAAAGTATCGAATTGTTCAGTTTTCGCGCTAGACACTACACGAGTTTGATAGCATGGCGACCTCAGAAAGGGCGGACACCCTCCACGCCCACAAAGCGCGTGCCTTCTCTTCATTTGCGAGCAGACTCTCCGCGTAAGTGGGCGCTAAATACAAGCACGCGATTGAGCTTTAACAATACGCTTCCATCCAGAGGCTTCCGCAAAACCTGCAATAATGTGCTCGCGTTTGAAAGCAGGTAAGTAACAGTGTGGGTAAGTGGTTCTTTTTTTCAAAGCAATGACAGTATAGTTGATATGAAAGAAATCTTGCAAATAGACTACTGAAGGATACTTTAGCTACTATCTTTGTTAATTGACAGATTAGTTAACTGTAAAATGCTTTGTCAGATAACAATGTGTTTTACGCGTAATATCTTAAATGAACTGATTTTAGTCAAATAATAATAGCTTAAAGGCTACTTTGACTTGAGTTTCGTTGATGTAATATTTGCAGAAGCTGTATTCATTTAAGAGTCAGGTAATTTTTTACCTTGATGTAACAACTGCATGTTTTCCTATACAAATAGGCTACTAAAACAGCTTCTTATTCTGACAAAGAAGCCGTAATGACCAACCACGGTATACAGTCTGATTTCTATACTTGTTACATGTTGTAGCTACCTATAATGTAATTGTTAAATATACCTTTAAAGTATATGGAGATATTTCAATGATCATTGTAATGTCAAATCGTAAGCAAAACTTATCTCTTTTTGATTCATATAAAAACTGTCTTGTGTGACATTTTTCTTGTGAGATTATGGCATTCATATCGCAATCAATCTAAAAAGTATTTAAATAGGCTTACCTTTATTCTTTACATTGAAAACATTCGACTTACCGTCACGTTCCACTCTGATCAAATTAAACGTTATGATGATTGAACAGTGTTGCATGCAAATGTTATCAGGATCATCCACGATATTATAATATCATTACATTATTAAATATCATAAAGAAAATGACGCTCAAATATCATAAAGAAAATTACGCTCAAACAGTGATTTGG